CCACTGCTATGGCAGACAAGATGGATCTTCATTGTGTGTCAGTAATTGCCAGTTACCAAGTCTCATGTGATTAATTTCATCCCTCTTTTCTACTAAAATCCAAATTTCTTCCATAATGAGAGAAACACTCCACCAATAAAACGTGAGCATGTTGCTATATATACTGCTGGAAAACCTGCTCCACTTTGCATGTGAATTTATTCAAATTAATGACTCCTTAAAGTGACATTTTCTACCAGAACAATTCCCATTCTCAATATTTTCTTCATTTGAAACACTGAAAAGCTCTAAAGTGGCACTTTCACTTTTCAAATGTCTTGCCATTCTCATCTAAAATTTTCCACTACAGAAATTCCCTTGGATCCCGTAGCCAAGCAACTTTTGGGTGAGCATGAAAACATTCCTGTTGCAGAGTGGTGCCTAGGAACTGATTTTATTTTTCCTCTACACAGACACAGCCCACTTCAGAGCTAATCCTCCAGCTGTCCTTTGGGTGGATGGGGTCACGTGTGCTTCCAGAACACTGCTGGATTAATCTGGGCATTAATACTCTGCCCAGCTGTCTTTGAGAAACTTGAAGTTCTGGGATGAATGAAAAGAACTTGTCTGACAAATCGGTGGCCATGACCTCAGAGAGCCATGGCAGCAGCAAGAATTCTGCCACCAAGGGCACCTTCTGAAACAAGGCACCAGAACCTTCCCATGACCTAAGAGAGATGTGGCTTCCAAGGGTCAGGGTTAAGACCATTCTACTTCTACAATTTTGATTTTTTAAAAAAATTCCTAATTAGACAACTCTTTTAATAGCACCTGGGCTGCCAATCTTGACCTGTTTATAAATCCAGTTCTAAAATGCATGTGATTTGAAATTCCTCCAAACAAGAATCTGAGCCATCACACAGAGATGGGGAAGGCGACATCAAAAGTAAGCAGGCATATCCAAGGCTCCGACACTCTGTATTTAATGCTCAGAAAAACAATAGCCACTCTCTTGGTCATTCCAACACCTAACCATTTTTTTTGCCATTGATTTCTTGGGTGATGTTGACATGCCATTTAAACCTTCCCATATTTCATTTGTTTCATATTTGAAATAAATAAGTCACAGTTTTTTCACTCAATATCTTCGAGTCAAAGACAGGATTGGACGGTAGAAGCCCATGGGCCACATTCCTGCTATGTTGTTAGTGGTCTGTCTTGATGATGGTCCTGCCAACAAGTCTTGAATCCATTTCCTCCTCCTAGGCTCACTCTTTCAGCCCTTCAGACTTTGTCTATTTATTTTTTACATTGTTTCAGTTGACCCTGGGTGGTCTCTATGCCCCCAACTCAATGGTTGTTAGCAAGAAAGCCATTTTGCTCCCCAGGGAACATCTGGCTAAATATATGGAGATATTTCAGATTGTTAAGACTTGTGGGGTGCTATAGGCATCTACTAGGTAGAAGCCAGGGATGCTGCTAAACACCCTACAACACACAGTGTGCCAACAAAGAAATGTCAGTTCAAGGGGTCAATAATACTGAAGTTAAAAATTGAGCTCCAGTCATATTCGCCTGAATCTGTTCTCCACATACCACCAAATTCGCCTGAATCTGTTTTTCACATACCACCAGAGAGATACAAAAAACAATTCCAGTGACATCATCTCCATACTTGAAACCCTTCAGTGCTTTCCAGTTGCTGTCAGGTTAAATAAGTCATAGAAGACCCATTCTGATCTGGCCCTTTCCTAGCTTTCTACCTCACCTTCAGTATTTCCCTATGTACCCTTTCCTCCAACCACACATGCATTGCTGTGGCTGGAGCAGACCACTCACATCATTGTCTTTCTATCAGTCTTGTCATTTCATTCCACTGCTCACTGATTTTATGGCAGACGCTTCATAGTGACTAAGGGACAAGACACTCTCCCAACAGCTTGAGGCACTGAGATCCTAGAAGCAGGATCTCAAAAGTGAGCATACAGTTCAGTCAGCAGAGGCCGACTTACTCAGCACCTCTGTGATCCACTGTCTTCTCCCCAACCTGCTGTGAGCCTCCAGGGAAGAAGGAACATCTTCATCTGCATAGTTCATAGCAATGTGCCCAGGTAAATATGGTTGACCGGTTATGTGAGTGGCATTTGTTATAGCTGTATTAAGGAATGAATGAATTTCTACCCTTTTTAAACTTTCTTCTTGCTCACACATAAAAACATCTTGAAATAGCAGAATGGAAGGATGAAACAGAATTCATCATACTGTTCGTGCACAAACAGCCAGAAACAGGACTCATCCACAAAGATGGGAAGCACCATCTCAGTTTAGAGCTGTATTCTCTGCTTCTCTTCTCTTTACATATCAGGAAGACATAAACCTGTAAAACCAGTATTCATCTTGATGATTGTCTGAATACCATTGCCTGATAAAGACAACAGACATGTATGGAATAGAAATTTGACTGGTAGTCACAACAGAATGGTATTGAGAACACAAATCTTCATGTACTCTAGGAATCATGCTTTGAAATTTGTGGTGACTAGGATGACTCTGCTCTTACTCTAGACTGGGAGGATCATTTCACTGTTTGAATAATTAACAATATTTTTGTTTCTACTTGTCTTCCTTTTAAATTTATTCTACCATTCTAGAAGGTTTTTACCTGAGCTTCAAAAATCCATGAAGATGTACTTTAAGGGGACAGACTTCCTAGAGAAAAAATTTTACTAGATATTGACAGAGCTCTTATGAACTTCTAAGAGAGAGACATCAATTTGGCTTCACAGCTGGTGAAAAAAATTAAGATGAATCTTTCAAACAGGGAAAATTGAAAAGACAGTTAATGGATTCCTACTCCATATGATGAAATTTTTGCATTTGTATCGCACTTACCTATAATTGTTTGTCTACCATGCATCCTTTTGTTATGTGAAAGAAAAGGCTAGTATTTGGCATTAAAATATCTCTATAGAAAATGGAGCCAAATGGAAGCTTCTAATGGAATGGGGTGACAGGTTCAGAGTAAAGCTTACCCAGCCTCCTCTTCACGTCCTAGGGGAACTTCAGAAATGGCCTAGAGTTTTGTATTCCCCTTGCCAACCATTCAACCTGTTTGGTGTAACAACTTTTATTTCTATTTACTCTCTCTCTCTCTCTCTCTCTCTCTTTGTTACTGGGGATTGAACTCAGGGGTGCTCAACCACTGAGCCACATCCCCAGCCCATTTTTAGATTTTATTTAGAGACAGGGTCTCACTGAGTTGCTCAGGGCCTCACTAAATTGCTAAGGCTGGCTTTGAACTCACAATCCTCCTGCCTCAGCCTCCCCACTTCTGGGATTAGAGGTGTGTGCCACCACACCTGGCTATTCTCCATTTTTGCAGATAACATGGAGTCACAATTTCATGCATATGCTATTCTTTCTCCCATTATTTACTGCATTAGTCATGTCCTCTCTCATTCTACCTTGAAATAATCATAAACTGTAAGAAAAAAGTGATTTTTCTCTCAAAGCAATATTTCAGGAATATGGGATGAAGCCCATAAAATCATTAGTAACCAGAAGTGAAAAACACAAAACATTTTCTTTCATTTGCAAAACACACATACACAAAGAGAAAGAGAGACAGAGAAAAGCAATATGGATCCAGAGACTCATGGTTAAGAAAATTATTTTACTGTGGAACTTACAGCATTAGTTGGAAGGACAGATTAAAAAGGCCATTATAGCCAACCTGTTCTCATAATCACCATATCTTTGGGGCCCAGCTGGATACAGAAGGCATCTTCTGAGATCCCATTCTCCATATGTTTCATGCTTTCTCTCTACCATGGTATTTTTGGTATCTAGTTCCTCAGTTCCCCTTTCTAACCATCAAAGCATTCTCTCAGGAAAATATTTAGTAAAATTCTTCACATTTCAGTGTGAGTTGAATTGGTTACTTCTGCCTCTCTCAAGTGTATTTGTTTTCCAAGATAAACTCTTACTAAGAACTCAAAAAGCTTTTGTGGAAGGAATTCTTGATTTGAGACTGGGGTAAAGGTGATCTTTCAGGGACAAGGAGTCCTGCCCTCTTACATTTCCAAGTATCTACATTTTTAATGATAAAACAAAAAAAATATATTGCATTAAAGCTAAGGAAAAGCGTACTATATTTGTATTCAGAAAATCTTACTTTGTGTGCATTTGTTTTTGGTTTACTTTGAAGTTAGTAAGAGTCTGAGATTTGCCTTACCATGTGTCTGAGATTTGCCTTACCATGTGTCTGAGATTTGCCTTACCATGTACGGTGAGATTTTTCCCTTTCTCTCATGAAGGAGAAGGAAGAAAAAGAGGGGCAATAGAAGGGACAGGAGGAAAGGGAAGAGAATGAGTCAGCACACATATTATCATCTTAAAAAATATAATGGTTTGGGGGTTAAAGTAGGCACCATGTATTTAGTCTGTATCAAAACTATTAGACAAGGTGCTTGTGGAAAAGAGACTAGGAAAATACTGAGGCAAAAAGAGGATGAGCAGCACAGAGATATTTGTGGAGAATTCTTTATAACCACCAACTTAACTGTGATGGAGTAGAAAACATCCCCTTTCAAGAGGACTTTCTGCAATAATGGAAATGTTTTCAGTTTCAGATTCCAGTATGGCAGCCGTCAACCACATGTGGCCACTAGGAACTCGAAATCTGGCTGTGTAATTGAGGAATTGGAATTTTAACTTTAATGGATTTAAACTTGATTTTAAATAGCCTCCATGGCTAGTGGGTACCACATTGTACAGTTTAGGTCCAACACCATTACTGCTTTCCCATGCAATCTTAGAAATATTTGTACCAGTAAAACTTCCAAGAAAAATGGATCGAACTCCCAATATCACACAGACTTCTGACTGAAAAAGAACGTATTTACTAAAACATAGTGTATGGCTCACTGATGCCCCTTACTCAACCCATTTCCCAGCATACATAAAATTGGTGCTTATTTATTCTTCCAAAGCAGATTTCTAGAATGAAGTGGCTGACTTACCTTCACCCAGGGGAAGTTCCTCTTCTTGCTCAATGGGAGAAGGAAGAAGGGGCTGCAGGGGCTCCATGTTAATGATGAGCTGTTTGTTCAAGGAGTGGGAACTGCGACTCTGAGTAATGCTGACTCTGAGAACAGACAAAAGCCAAATAAAGTTGATGTCCTTTGTGAGTGCTGGCCCCTCTCTCTCAGGGGCTACCCAAGCTAAGAAGTGCCTCTAGACACACACAGCAGATTAAGCTAGAAATAAGGGTGACATAAAACTCAAGACCCACCACCCTTCTTGCCCTTAAGATCCTGACAAACATCTGTGTTCCAATGCGACCCAGTAAAAGAAAATGTAGTTCCCCAGATGCCATCAGACCTGGGCATGTCAGATGAAGATGTGAACATTTTAAGAAGATACAGGAAACATAGGTGTCAGCTATCACTGAACTAGATATGCAGAAAGGTGAATGAAGGGTGTGGCTCAGAGGAATAGAACAAGCACCAAAAGACCCTGCCAGATGGATGGCACAGATGTGCTACAGCTCCAAGTTATCTTTCTGTAGCTGGATAGCCAGTGATTAATATTCCCATTCACCCTTCTCACCAGCCAGCTATGAAATACAGGTCTGTTCCTCCTTTGGGAAGGAACATTCACACCAGTGGCTATGGCAACAGCAGATGGCAAGGAAACTGTTTAGGTGTCCATCAAAACTATTGCCTGACAGCTGGGGAGCCTGTTTGCACTGCCTGCTGCAAGGAGACCAGCTGTCTGTCCTGCCAGACAAGGAGGTGGGGACCTGCAGGTGGATGACTGGCACCCTTCCCCTCCCCTGTTTCCTGTCAAAACCAAAACCAACAATTCCTTCTAAGATGTTGTCAAATGTCTCCTGCCCTTTGAAGCCTTCCTGGATGGCTCCTGACAACAGAGACAAAGACTCACTCTCTCCCTCCCTCCCTCTATCACTTTCTCATGCTGCTCTCTGTTCTTTCACAGCTATCTGCATGTCACCTCTGTCTCTGTGCAGTTATTGGTGTACTGAGCATGCTCTGCCTCCATAAGCACCATAAGGGCAGAGAGTGCTGACCTGGCCATCTCTGTCTGCCCTAAGGTGTCTTGTTTGGCATTGTGTTAAGGATGCTCAGGTTTAAAGCCAAAGTAAACTAAGTGTAATCCTGGTTTGGCATATTGTCATTTCACACTGGCATAGGTGCTCCCAGGCCTGGTGGAGGGACTGCCTTCTAGCCTGAGCTCTTCTGTTAGACCTGGGACGAAAAGGGGAGGAACAGGATGTCTTTTAGCATCTTGAATTAACAGATGGAGCTAACTAGAAGAAATTTCTAGGAACTTGCTTAATCACGGAGTCCTTTGCTTCCTTACCTCATTCCTCAGCCACTTACAATATAGCTAACATGTATGAAGGTCTGCCTTGGCCTGGCAGGGATATAGCTCCCCTGCTGCCTTAAGCAACTCACTGTCCAGAACCAGGATTTTCAAACTTTTTTCTCTGAGAACTGCATTATGAAATGCAGGAAGGCCCACAATGAAAATAAGTGTTTGATGAGTGTTTACCCACAGCTATGTGTGATTTGCTTTTTTTTTTTTTAATCTATTTTATTTTGTTTGAAGTGCTGGCCTTGAGTTTTCATGGGATTTCTTCTGTCCCTGTGGTCATTAATGACTGTGATTCTGTCTATCCTAGTGCAACACATTGCTATGCTTTGCATAGATTTTCTAGCTTTCTGACTTCTGAGATGTCCATTGTTTTAATCAGCTTTTTGGCTACTATGACAAAAAGACCTGACAAGAATAATTTTAAAAAGGAAAACTTATTCTGGGGCTCATGGTTTCAGAGATCTCAGTTCATAGATGGCCAACTCCATACTTCCTGAGATGAGGCAGAACATCATGGGGAAGGGTATAGAGGAGGAAAGTAGCTGGGAACATAGCCTCAGGAAGCAGAGAGAGAAAGAAAACACCCCCCCCCCCCCATGGACAAAATAAATCCCCTAAAGGAAAAATCCTCAGAGACATATCTCCTTTAGCCACATCCAACCTGCTTTCTATTTCCATTCAATTAATCCCTATTGGGGATTAATTCATTAATTATGTTAAACCTCTTACAACCCAATCATTTCATCTCTAAACTTTCTTGCATTGTTTCACAAATGAGCTTTTGGGGGACACCTCACATCTAAACCCTAACACCCATAGATTAATTTCTTGCACAAAACAACCCTGATTTTTTTTGCCCCATGACTGACCATGCCAACCACTTAAGCTGGCAACTCTTCTTATCTCCGAAAAATCACTGTTTATGCTACAATGATGGGTCCTTAGCAAGTCTTTGTGAAGAGTCTTTGATTGCCCATCAGTCCTCCTCCCAACATTCTCTGGCTGAAGATTGCAAGCATTCTCCTGCCTCAACCAATATTGCAATGTCCAGCAAATGGCTGGTTTGGGGACAGATTTACCTTCGAGACGTGGGTCATCCTTAACACTGATGGTCAGGAAGATGCTGGCTCAGCCCCTACACTCACAGTCCCCAGGCGCTCCACTATAGTAAGGCCCATAGCTACTACAGGGGCTTAGAGATCTGCCCAGGGTTGACCAGATGGTACCTGTAGGGAATTACAACCCTGAGACTCTCCAGTAACAGAATACAGAGAGGAACATTATTTAGACTCAGATAGACACAAAGGTGGCTATGACTAGGGATTTCCCTGGAGCACAAATAATCCAGGGCTTCAAACCATGATATTATGATAGGTTGGGGGACAAAGCAAGCAAAATGAGGAAACAAATCCAAGTTTCCTACCTTTCCCCACTGCTATGGTCTGAATGCTTATGTCCCCTTAAAATTCATTTGTTGAAATAACCTCCAATGTGATGGTACCAAGAGGTAGGCCTTAAAAGAAGTCTGAGGATGCTTATTTTTGCCTTCTACCATGCAAGGACACAGCAAGAAGATACCATCTGTGAGAAAACAGACCCTCACCAGACATCAAATTTGCCAGTGCCTTGATCATGGGCTTCCCAACCGATGGTATTTTGTTATAGAGAAATATAGAGAGAAATAAATTATAAAAAATAGAGAAATATTTTTTCTTCTTTATAAACCACCCAGCCTATTATATTTTGTTATAACAGCTCAAATGCACTAGTATACCTACCCACCTCCTTTAGTCTAAAATTTCCTTTTTTTCCGCCTCATTTTCCCTTTGCAGATTTGTGTGTGTGTGTGTGTGTCTTAAAACATTAGGTTTATTTGCTCAAAATTCTGGAGTTTGGAAATAGAAAATCCAAGAATTTCCAGGACCCTATTCCCTCTAAAGCCTACAAGAGAGGATCATTCCTTGCCTCTTCCAACTTCTGGGAGCCTTAGATATTCCTTGGCTTGTGGCAGCATAACTCTAATCTTCTTTGCAGACTTTTAAAGGTGCCAAGGCTTCTTTTATTGTGAGAGCTCAAGAGCACAGTTGTTCTATGATAATATAATACCAGAATCTGAATGGCCCTTTTTTTTAAGCTAAGAAAGTGATTTGTATACACTTGATCTCATCATTTTTTTTCTCTGTATACTTGTAAAATAGGTAAGGTAAATACCATATTTACAGATGACGATGAGGTTATATAACTTAACTAAAGACACAGGGCCTCCATGATCCAAACAAGGCCCCACTGCTTAAAGTCCCACCTCTCAACACCAGTGCACCAGAACCATGGCTCTATAACATGAATCCTTGGAGACACCCCCAGTGTTACATTTAGAGAAGAGATATCCCCCAAAATCTCATGTGTGGGACAATGAAAGAATGTTCAGAGGTGAGATGATGAGATTATGAGAGCTGTAACCTGATGACTGGATTAATCTACTTGAATGGATTGACTGGGTGGTAACTGTAGGCAGATGGAGTGGACTGGAGGAAGTGGGTCACTGGGAGCATGCCTTTGGGGTGTATATTTTGTCCCTGGTGAACAGAGCTGTCCCTCTTCCTGCTTTCCTCCATGGCACCCTTCGCCTCACCTCCGGCCCAGAGCTGTGGAGTCATTAGACCAGGGTCAGAACCTAAGAAACCATGAGCCAAAGTGAACTTTTCCTCCTCTAAGCTGTTCTTGCCGGGTCACTTGGTCATAGTGGTGGAAAGCTGACTAAAACACCAAGCCTTGTCATGAGGTAACTTGTTCTATGACTGGGTCTCCCCAGGCCAGGCCAAGACACAGGTCAGGGAACTCCATTCTCAGAATCCACCCGTCCGTCAGCTGACTATGAAAAAAGCCTGACCCACTTTGTAGCCCACTCAAGTGTAAAAAAGTCTCCTAGAAGACTGCCACAAAGAACGCTATTAAAGTTGAAAGGTTTCCTTTGGGAACTGCAAAAGTTGATTCTAATGCTGGAAAACATGGTTTGTATTAAACTATCTCCTGGTTTTTCTCAAATATGCTTTTAAGATAGGCATGAAAAATACCATGTTTACAGATAAGGAAACCAGGGTTATGTAATACTTACATGGACCCAAAAATGGTGGCATAAAATAGAGAGGTAGAATGAAGCTGCAGAAGTTCTTTCACCACTTCTTGGAATGCTGGCCTTGCTAGCAAGCCTCCAAAAACTTCATCCACAGGAATACTAATGCAAATGTATCTTTCAGATCCTACCTTCCCATTTTTGGATAAGAGATGATAACACTATCAAAACATACAATTGTGTGGCATTTTATAACTTCAAAATACTTGATTTTTAATCCTCCCAACAAAATCTAGGAAAAGCAATATATAAATCTCATTTTATACCTGGGCAAACTGATGATTTGGGAAGCTGAGTGACTTACCCAAGGCTGTAAGCTGGGAAGCAATACAGCCAAGACTAATGTGCTTGATTCAGATATAAATGCTGCCTGTGAGAAGCCTGGTGGTGGCTGTCATGTCCAGGTGACTGGCACAGTCAGCCCTGTGCTCAGTGAGCTTTGGCCTGTGTCAGATCGGGAGAGTGATTCTACCCAGTAACCAACCCAGGAGAGTTTTGCTTGTGGATCTTCTCATCAATAAATGATCAATGACCTAACATCAGAGTTAACTTCGCTCCTTTTTTTGAAGAAACAAGAAAAATTCCAAGACATTATTCTCAGTCTGTTTCTGTCTTTCTGTACACACACCTCAGAAGTAGGAGTCCATGAACCTGTCATTGTTTGATGAGTAGAATCTCAGGTGTGAGGAAAGATGCTTAATTAAAGCCTTATCATCACCATTCTATACTAACAGTCATCTCTGGATGCCCACCATCAGAGGAGAGCTCATTATTTGACAGCCATAACAAAGAAGCTGAAATAATTTGAAAATAAAATAATTGTCTAAGACAAACAATTTTCTACCATGCAGCTGGCTACTTGCTGGGAAAGAGGATTTGCCAGCAGGAAAGTATCACATATCATTACTGCTCCGACCACAATGCTGCCTCTGGGGAGGTGAAGTTTGACAGTGCAGCATCTTGGACAGACTTCAGATCTAAAAAAAATAATGGGGCTGAGAACACAGTTCATCCACAAAAGAAAATAACAGAGGTGCTACTGTTACCTTCACAGTTCATGAATTCATTCAACAAACAAGTATTGCATTCTACTATACACCAAGCACTGGGTTAAGAAATGGAGAATATGAAGAGGACAAAGAGGGACAGAGCTTTGGCCTATCAGAGCTTGCTTTGTTTAAAACCATTACATTAAGCAAATTCTTCCCAGTACTGTCAGAGATTTAAGGGATGCTGACAAAGAACCAAGGACAAGAGAGGCTTCCTGAGGATGTGAACTTAGTAGTCTTTCACATACAGATGAAAGGGGGTGGTAGAAGACAAAGAAAGAGCATGAAAATCAGGCCTCAAAAGCCTGTGAGTCCTTGTTTGTAGTAATATCTTGGGGGATTTTAAAAGATTCCAGAAAAGAGAAATGGAATTGATTGATGCCTCAGGCTGTATTCATTTCCAGCACCTTTTTGGTGGTTCAGTGCCCTCCAAGAAAAGCTTTCACTCGGGCCAAGCTGCTCCCTTCACCCTAATACCATCGGAGAGCACAGCTACTCAAAGTGTGGTCCATGGACCAGCCAAAGGGCCATCACCTGGGAGCTTGTTAGTAATGCAGACTATTGAACATCATTTGGCCTTTTGAATCAGAATCTGATTTTAAAAGGATCCCCAGGTGATCCTGTGCAAGTTAAGGCTTGAGAAGCCCTGAGCTAGGAAGTCTTGATTTCCTTAAATTATTAAAACCTCAATTTATAAGAGAAGTATTTCAAAAAATTATTTTTTGATCTCATTAACCACCCATAGAGCAAGACACTGGAACTCTAGACCTGCATCTGCTATACCAAATATGACTTGGATAAATAATTTCACTTGTCCAAGTCTCGAGTTTCTGTCAATAGAGTGGAAGCAATAAAACTAGGTGAGGTCTGAAGTTATTTCCAAAGCAAAGATTCTGGATAAGAAATGATGTGTTTTATCATTGCTGCTGCTTCTTTTCTACACTGTGCTGAATGATCACAGTTTAGGGCAGGGGAGGAACTCATTGATGGGTGGGCCATCAGATGTTCAGGTATTACAATGAGGTGCCCCCAGCCAAGTTGTTCCACCTTCCCCAGCCCCTCAGTTTTCTCTTGCCTCTTAAAGCCAAGGGACTGGTTTTGCAGATGCATGTGACAGCTCCCCACTGCAAGCAGGGTTCAATTATAATTTGTAAACATCTGCATAGGATCTCCTGTAGACTGTGGTTCTGCGCCCCTCTTTGGGAGAGGAGAGAAGTGCCATTTAGATACCCATGCCAGACTGGCCTACCCTCATTTCTGTGGGACTACAGCCTCTTCCTGCCCACAATCCTGAGGGACAAGAAGTGGCACCCAGCTTACATTGCCACCCTGGAAATGGAAGAGACTCAGCAAACCTGGGCATAAAGGAAACACCTCTGGGTTCCAAAGATGGAGAAAGAAGGACAGGTGCCAACCAGCATGTGGGGAATTCACTAAGGAATTTGGCTCACGATGGTCTTGCCTTAAAAGAGGGGAAGCACCATGATATGAATGTTCAGCTTTAAGATATTTAGCATGTTTGAGGTTGAGCATATTCAATAGGTTGTGTAAATTGTGGTGGTGTGAAGTTCAGTTTGGTCAAAACAATATTTAATTCCTAAAAATTATCCTAGATAGTCGCCTTAATGAAGATGTTGCACCCTCAAATTGATAACAACTAGACCCTCCTTCCTGTAGGTGTACCTTGGGAGTAAAGGGCTCAGTGACATGTGAGCCTCTTCCCTCATGTGAAATAGTCTAAAGGAGTCCAGCCAATGGGAACTGACCACATCTGATGAAGGAGACAGAAAATTAGGCAGTTCTAAGAGGACAGAACACCAGAGCTTGGCCAAGAGATATCAGGCATCCTGCTTGCTCACATGACACTCCATATCTAATCAATATCTCTTCCCAGACTAAGTGACTCAAAAGGGAGCCCAGGTGCACCCATGCCACAGTCCAGCCAAATCTGTCTACGGGAGATTTCTAGGGATGTGAAAGAGTTTTTAATTAATTAAGTTAATTTCTTAAATTACACACAGGGGTATTATCAAGAATTTGAAAGAATCAGATTTGCTTTTCCTTTTTTTTTTCCTTTCAGTGTTTGGCAGGTGCTCTACCACTGAGATACCTCTGCAGTTCATGGAAAAACCAGCTTTTCAATCCCTCTGTCCATCTTTGAAACCATCTGAACCAGAAGGGACCAACCCACTCACCTGTGTACCTCTGGAGGCTCCCTCTGGATTTTGGAGCTCGCCTCTACCACCTCTTTGGCAACTTTACCACTGTGAAAGACAAAAATACAGGTATGTGCAGATGCTCAGAGGAAGAGAGAACACATTTTTTTTTAAATTTCACAGTAGTCTGAGACAGCTCAAAGTATTAACTCTTTTTCTTATTCCACAAAGGGAACTTAGTATGGAGGTCAAGGGTCTTTTGAGAGCATAAGAGCTCAATGAAGTGGAAATGAATGGAAGCACATAAACCTAAGTGGATTTATTTTTGAGCAAAACATGCAAATGTAAATAGCCATCCCCACTCCAACCCCACCAACTGCAATGGGATCAATGGTACCCACCTATATCGAAATCTACTTCCTTTAAAAAATATCTTGCTGCTTGACACTGTCTTGATCTGACTGGATTTCGCATACCTTTAAGAAAAAGCAAGGCAGAATGGGTAATGACATTGAAAAATCCAAGTAGGACATTACTGTAGAACTGTGGTAATCAGATATTTTGACAGCAAGAAACACATTTTATATTGTGATTCAGCATGCACAAATAGAAACTGAAAGAAAAGTTTTACAAAAAAAAAATACTTTTTCTTGTATTAAATCTGATGCCATCACTGGTATCCTCCAATGTCATTTCCCTTCATTCTTTTTGAACTCTGGTCATGGCCCATATGTTTGATTTTACAATCCCTTAGTAGCTAATGGACTACAAAACGAACTAGGCAATATTGATGATCAATAGGGATTCTGTGTCAATATTGCAACAGAAAACAGCTTTCTGGCAACAAAGACTGTGTCAATATTGCAACAGAATATTGCAATATTGCAACAGAAAACAGCTTTCTGGCAACAAAGACCATTCTGTGCTACAAAGAACTCTCTGCACACTGCCCAAGCAAGAACAAGGGGCCATGTCACCACAAGCATGGTCACTGGCTTCTGTTTCACCATGACCCAGTGCCCTTTCAAAGAATCCACTCCAGCAGATGACTAAGATACACAAGGGACAAGAAGCCCAGACAAGCACTGACTCAGCACCTCTGAGCCACACTCATAAAAAAGAACAGAACAACACTCAAAAACAGCCAAGAACATGGACTGCCCTGAGGCTGAACATAGGGCCCTAAATTACCCTGATGGCTGGGGATACCTCTGCAGAGGTCCTTTAAGCCTTATGTAATTAAGTCCAAAAGGTCTCCCGGAGTTTGAGATGATTTAAAATATCAATAGTCACAAAAAAATCTCTAAAACACACACAAAACAAATATGTTCTATAGGATTCTGAGTAAACACACACACAAAGCCAGGGCTATGGCTAGAAGTTTCTAGGCAGGCAGTAGTCACCACTTGTGAGCCTCCTGAAGCTTCACTCATTGGCTCGTGAGTACTGACCCTGCTTGATCTGTGTACCAAGCTAAGCCCAGGGAAGACACATGCTCTCTGCATTCATGGGGTGCAAGATCTAGAGGAGAAATGAATATAAATCTAGTAGCCATGTAAATAAATGTAAATGACAAGCTGTATGGCTTGCTATGAAGGAAAAGTTACAATGACAACATGCAGGAGAAGGACTGATCTGCTCTGGGGTACCAGAGAAGGTGTCCAAAGGAAAGGACACTAGAGCAGAGATTCAGGGGCTAGAAGGTATTAACTGGGGACTGTGGTGGTTGGTTGTGGGTGCCTGGCAGAAGGGCAGAAAGCTCAAAAGCCCTCAGCCTAAGCATTTGCAGAACTAAAAAAACCTAGTGTATTTCCCCAAGTTATTACTACACACTTTCTTTCTTTCTCCTCTCTCTCTCTTCTCTCCTCCCTCCCCACCCCTCTCTCTTTCTCCCCCCCCCACAATTTTCTAATGAAGAAAGAAAAGTGAATGTACAAGATGAATGAATGGAAAAAGAGGGAGAGAGTCCAATTTTGCAGGACCAGACCTTAAGTCATCCTTGTTAAGGAATTGGGACATTATTCAAAGAACAATAGAAAAGCCATGGTAATAATCTTTTGCAAAAACAAACAACAACAACAAAATCCTTGCCCTTTCCTCTCTCCCCCTCTATCCTGAGATCCATACTTTGGCGGGTCCTGATAGGACATGAGACCACACCCAACTGAGAGGATAAAAAGGCCCAGTAAAACACACTTAGATGGTCCAGGCTGGGTCCTCTGGCTTCTGTGAGGACATACCTGCTCCAAGTCCATCTGCACCATCTCCATCTCCACTCCCACCTTCTCTATTGAAGTCCAAGGGAAGGACAGTTGCTGTCCCCATTTCCTTTGGCATGGCTGTTATTCCCATACCCACAGAGGTGGCAGAAGGAGAAAGCCTTTAAGAAACCACTTCATTATTTTTAAAATTTTAAAATTCTATGTCCCTAAGGATCTTGAGGCAAAGTGGTCTGCTAAAAAGTAAATGAATCAGAGCCTTAAATGGGTTTTGGAAATTTAAACTCAACACTGCCCATTTTACAGAAGTGACCCCTAAAGTTAGCACACTAGTCAATCTCCCAGCTATAGGGGCCTGGTGGGAGAGGTGGCAGCTACCTTGACACCCATTCAGCCTTCGCTCTGTCTTTTCCAGGCCCTGTGAGGAGGCCACAACCTTCCTCTTAGGCCTAGGATGGCCTCTTGTAGGGAGGCTGTGGCTATACACTGCCTCTCCAGAAAACCCTCAGAGCAACCGAGGAAAAGCAAGTTAAAAGATGCATTTCACAGAGAAAGCTAACGGCTACCTGCTCAGGATGAGAGGAGAGGAAAAAGCATTGGCTTCTTCCCAGCAGGTGATTCTCCTGGATGACTATTTGTGTCATTCAATTTGCTGGAGAGAGTCACCATCAATTATCTACCCTCTCAAATGTCTGGGTAGGCTCCTGGGATGCCTCAGTTGATATCTTCAATGGAATATAATGGGAGTTTAATCTAAGAGCTCAAACAACATAAACCCACCGTGAATTGGGAAACAAAGACCACAGGAAGGAAGGGAATGAATAGGGGAACAAGAAAGGTGAAATGGTGAGTGGAAAAGCTAAACAAACCCAATATGCCAACTCCTGAACATGACAGGGCAAAAGCCCCACTTGGAGCAGGTCTTAGAAACAGAGGTCTTCCAGCTTGATCGTTCGTGATTGTGATTCAGTAGGTCTGGAGAGGAATTTGTGTTTTAATCAAATATCCCAAGGTGATTCCAAGGCAGCCCACTTGCATTTGAGAACCTCTACCTCCCCAGATTCCCCTCAGTTAACCCAAGAGATGAATTTCACCTGAAAGAACAATAGCCCAGAACCTTGGTCACATCAGGTCGCTTTCCTGAGTCTCGGTTTCTCCAGGTATTTCTAAAGGAAGAGGGTATCGTAATACCTACTTCATAATGCTCTGAGGAGGGGTACATGAGATTCAGTTATTTGAAAGTGCCTAGCAGGTGCCACGTTGTTATGTGGTAGTTTTCCTCCCTTCCTCCCCACCTGCCTTCACTCTTTTCCTCCATAATACTACTCTCTAAACCTCTGCAGGGTAAGAAGCTACCAAAGCCAATCCCCCAAATCCCCAGAGGGAACCACCTTGTAAACACTGAAAATAAAGAGCCCTAACTCCAGCCTACATGTTCCAGGCCCTCTGTTTATCAGGCTTTACCATCACCAGCAAGCCCAGGGGAAGAGCCTCTTCCCACCCAGTGCAGTGGAATGAATCTGCAACCTACTTAGAACAGCAGCTCACTTTCCTCCAGTTTTCTGCCTTCTTCTCTGCCCTTTCTCACTTCCACCCCCAACTCCCCATCAAAATCTCAAGCCAGAAGCATAACTAAGCTCAAGCATCTGACCTTACAGGGAAACCCAGGTAGTCTCTGCAGGACTGACCTCCCTGGGCCCTGGTCTCCAATTTCTCCCCTGGTACCTGCTATTCCAGGGGCTGGGGATGGAAGTCAGTGTTGGGTGCTAGGACACTGGGTGGTATTCCAAGAGGCCACCTCTAAAATTAATAACACATTTCCCATTTTTCAATGTTTCCCCATGGGTTAGGAGTAATAATAACAACATTTGTTACTATTGAGCCCTTACTGTGGGCCATGCTCCATCCAAAGCACCTTAAACATATTAATTTGTTTTATCCTCACAGCTCTCCCCCAGGAGGAAGCAGACCACATTAAGGAGACTGAGGCACAGAAGGGTTACCTATTGTCACATGATAAAAGCTGAGGAACCAGGCTGCAAATTCAAATCTGTCTGATTTTAGTATTTTAAAAATCAGGCTGAGCCAGACAGGCTCTGAAATTCTAATGAGCATCAGAATCACTCTTTTCCAAGCACAAGTTTCTGATTGAATAAGTCTGAGGCAGAGCCCGGAAGTCTGCATTTCAAACAAGTTCCTGGAAGTGATAGTGCTGATCCAGGGATCCTATTTGGAAAACCACCAGATTACCGCAGAGTTTTCAACCTACAGATACACATTAGCACCACCTGGGATGCCATTATCACCACCAAAGCCAGAGCCCTCATGCAGATTCACACTGTTCAAAATAACACCTGTATTGAGGTACAATCCATACACCAAAAAGCTCACCCTTTTAGATTGTACACTTTGGTGGGTTTTAGTATAATTCACACACCTGAAAATAGGATCAAAAATTAATCATCACCATCGAATACTAAAACATTTTGATCAAAATGAACCCCTCTGTGACCACTGGCAGTCATTCTTGTTTCCTCTCCTTACATCTTCCACTTTTAGCCTTAGGCAACCAGTCTTCTACTTTCTGTTTCCATGTATCTGCCTATTCTTGGCATTTCATACCAATAGAATCATATAATATTTGTAAAATGGCTTCCTTCACTTCGAATAAGGTTTCCAAGGTTCATTCATTTTATACCATGTATCTGTATTTCATTTCTTTTATGGCCGAATAATATTCTATTGTGTGGATATGCCACATTTTGTTCTTGCTTTCTCCACTCCTCTGACCCCTTCCTTAGTAAATATCCTGACCCTGCCTCCAGCTCTGACCACCTGGCACTATGTGTTTTAATGGTTTCATCTGGCACAGCAAAGCCCTGTTCTTATTTCCTGGGGAGGGGGGTTTGTTCCTTTTGTTTGGTCATTTGAACATTTGGGTTGTTTCCACTTTGTTCACCTATTATGAATAATGTTACTATGAACATTGATATATAAGTTTTGGTGAAAACTTAGACTATGATTCTAGTAGGGTCGGATCCAAGGATCCAGCCATTGGTGTCTTTTAAAAGTTCCCCCTGGTAGTTCTAATGAGTAGTCATGGGTGAGAACCGCCAGTTAGAACTTTATTACTTAAAGTGTAGTCTGTGGACCTGCATTTATAGTATTATAGCATCACCTGGAAACTGTATTCTCCATTTTAACAAGATCTCCTGGTGATTCAGGTGCTTGATAAAGTGAGCGAGGTACCAATGGAGGAAGCTATTCTGGGATCAATTTATCTTTTCTTATATTATTGTTCCTCTAGCACCCCAAATTCCCAATGAGAAATTAAGGACTGCCTTTATCCCCTGCACGTAATTCCATATTAAATGGGGACAGGGAGTATCATTTGTGCTTCCACTGGGCCTCGGTGCCTAGCACTGAAGACACCAGAGAGCTACTGACTCCTTTAAAGCATCAGATGTCCTTTCAATGAACCAGTAACCGGTAACACTGAGCTCCAGCCCCCTGGAGCTGGTGGCACCTAGACAACACATGGTATAAAAGAAGCTCTTAAATGGTGATTAAGTCTGTGCTAGGGATCCCTGGGATCTGGGGTAAACAGGAAAGTCAGAGTTTCTGCTTCTGGGCTCTGTTCCCAGGCAGCAGATCTCAGAGCCAGAATTTTCAAACTGGATCGGTGGCCCTGAGCCAGCTGACAACCAGCAGCACATTCATGTCTTTAAAGTACCCTGGGGAATTCCTAGGCAGCAGCCATCAGGACTCCCTGTTCCCATGGCAAGTGGAGTAAAAATGGAAGGAGAAAACCAGCCCCAACCCAGGAAACAAGATTAGGGCCTTGCTCTGCCAGCTGTGCCAGTCACACAGACTTGGAGGCGCGGCCAGGACCTCTGTCTTCCTGGACAAGAGCTGGAGTTGCATTGGAAGCAGGCACCACCCCTGAGGTGGTTCACAGAACCAGAGCCCTGTGGAGTCAAGGGGACTGGGCTGTGTATCCAACTGGTGCTCAGATACTTTCATCATTTCAGAGGGGAAATAATAATGGTCATATCAGCACCTGCCATTTATCCACGGTTTTTGTGCCTAGCAGCACCAAACAGTGCAAGGCAGGTTATTACCACTGAATTTGATAGATGAAAAGTAAAGACAAGGCTCAACAGTTTTAGGGATTTGTTCCAGGTCACACTGCTGGTAAGTGACAAGATCAAGCTTCAAACCCAAGCCTGTTTACTTTCAAAGCATACACTTATTATGCTTTGCCACAGGAAAGCATGCAAATGCACACCTGAGTTCCAGTCCCCTACAGATTAAGACTGAAGGCAGCAAGCACTTCAGAGCCTTGCCCAAGGTCACACAGCTGGAGAACAAGCAATATCTTCCCTTCTTCCTAAGAACAAGGAAGATTATGTGATTATGGAGGAAAAGCAAAAAGTTATAGAAAATCTCAGATCAGCACAAATGCTCAGGTTTTAGAAGTCCTAATGAGAAAGGCGGGGTAGCATGGCCTAAAAAAGACACAAGGACTCGGTCAGTGACACACAGTCTGTCATGTGTGCTGACAGGTAAACTCTCTGGGTCTTCTGAAGCATCAACAAATGTCTGGAAGGGATTTCTTGGACTGTCTGGTTGGTCCTGTTAGTGACAGAATGGTCAGACTGGCCTCTGTGCTGCCTGGCCGCTACTTCACCTACCCCAAAGTGTGCAAAACAGATTCCCTGGACTGCACTTTTTTCCTCCCTCTATCCTCTCTTTTCAGCACCACTTTGCCTTTACTTCATTCCATCTGTCAGCTGGTTTTTCCACACATGATGAAACAACATGTGTGAAAAATAATGAATTAATGTCTCTAAATTATTCTTTGATAGGGAGTTCTTTGATAGGACCCTATGATTTCACTATGATTCCAAGATGGTGCCAAAGTCCCTCCCAGTAAGACTCACTGAGAAGGCTCTGAAAGAAAGCTTCTACTCCTTCCTCACACAGAATGCCTGTGAATCATCAAGAGTGACATCATACCTACACCACATCCCTTTTTCAAGATGGTGGAGCCTCCATATCTGGCCCAAGTTCTCCTTGCTCTTCATTTCCCTACATGCTATGTCATCTACCCTCTGCTCAGTCTTGTATAGCCACTCATCTTGCTAAAATGTGTCTTCTACTTTCCTGCCTTGGTCCCTTACCCGGGCCAGGATGTCCTTCCTCCACCTGAGGGGATCTTCAACCCCTTAGAAGCCCCAGCAGCAAAACTCATGCTCTCCTCGGAAGTCCCCCTGTCATTTTATTTTCAGTCCCCTTTTGGTCTCTACCATGAAATTAAAATCTCCTAAAGACAGGAACCATGCCTTATCAATTTGACCCAGTAAATACATTTTCTTTCTTTTTTTTTTTAAATGCTTAATTCTTTTTTTTTTTAATATTTATTTTTTAGTTATCGGTGGACACAACATCTTTGTATGTGGTGCTGAGGATCGAACCCGGGCCGCACGCATTCCAGGCAAGCGCGCTACCGCTTGAGCCACATCCCAGCCCCTACATTTTCAATGCCTATAATCTTCAGGAAATACTCAGAAAAGAAGACTCAGAGAGATTAGATCTATAAATGCATATATAAATATAATAAAAGAGTGCTATATCTATCTTGTCTTTGCCTTATTGTCTTGACTCCATTTATCAACTCCTTCATTTACAAGAAAACATTAACTCAAATAGCTAACTCAATGTTTTTAAACAGGAAGCAGCCATTCCATCAAAGGAAGAACCGAGGAGTTCCAAAATCTTAAGGCTCCAAAAACTGTCAGTTCCTCAAATGGGTAAATATGGGATTACCCTCGGGCCCAGCAATTCCACTCCAGGTATAAAACCACATAAAAATGTATGTGTGGATATTCATTGTAGCATTCTTCATAACAGCTCAAAAGAGAGAGCAACCCAAATGCCCATCAACTGATGAATGGTTAAATAAAATGTGGTATACTCATGTAGTACAATATTACTCAGCTATAAAAAGAAATAAAGTACTAACAAATACTACAACATAAATGAAGCTTGAACATATGCCAAGTGAAAGAAGCCAAGCACAAAAGGTCACATTGTTTATAATTCCATTTTACAAGAATGTCCAGAATAGGTAAATCCATGAAAACAGAAAGTAGATCAGTGGTTGTCAAGGGCTGTGGAGTGAATGCTATTGGATACAAGGGTTTTGGAGGGGTTGATAAAATTGTTCAGGAATTAGATAATGGTGATGATTGATTAACAGTGTGTCTTATACTAAAAACACTTAATTGTATCCTTTAAAAGGGTGAATTTTATGGCATGCAAATTATATTCTAACTTTCAAGATATTTTTTTAAAAACAAAACCAAAAAAGACACAACCTCCAATTAAAGACTAAGAGCATCAAACCCTCTGCATTTCCCTTTGTAAACTCTCACAAAGGCAGAGATTTCAAGACATATTGATCTTTTTCTTTAATATTTATTTAGTTGTAAATGAACACACAATATCTTTATTTATTTTTATGTGGTGCTGAGGATTGAACCCAATGCCTCACATATGCGAGGCAAGCACTTTACCAATGAGCTACAGGCCCAGCCCTGACACATTGATCTTTCAGAGGCCAAAAGAACCCCATTTCTACCAGTCTCCAAAGACTGCAGGGGGCACAGGAATACCTTGAGGTATTGATGGTGTGGGAAGATCTACTGATTCTCATCACCTTTTCCTGTCATTCCTAGAAGCCCAGCATTTTGTGGATTGTCTCATCTAGGGGTTTTCAAATTATTCTTCTTTTAGGGTTTGCCCAGTGTGAGGGATGTGAAACGTGGGACTCTCAGTGCTAACTGTGGGGAGATTCCAAGATATCATCCAACTGGTCATCCAAGTTCAAGGAACCATGAACAACAGGTGAAGGATCTTCAATCTCCTATCCAACTCTGGCCCCATCTACAATCCCAGCTTCTCTATTTTTATCCCTCTACACACTGGGCTTTGGCTACATTTCACTTAAGGAAAAGTAGTCTAGGGCTGAAAACAGGTTTACAAATCATTATCCAAGCCATCATTCTCCTGATGGTCCTGTCAGCCACAGCCCAGGAGGTTCAGAGACAGCATTTAAATATAATAAAAAGAGCTGTATTAAAAGAAATGAATATGCAACCATTTGCAAAACTTCAAGGACATTTTCAGTGAGATGAGTCTAATGAGGAAGGCAGAATCTAAGTGTGGGGAAAACTGAGCAAAATTCATCTGGATGAGCAGCAGGGTGGGATGACCTGGTCAGGGAAGATTAGGTCCTTGACTGTGTCCATTACCACTGCTATTCCAGTCAGCAAGTGGGTCTCCTCCATGTGAACCTTTCGAAGTCTGAGTCTTATGGGTGGTTTTTGAAGTCCTCCTGTCCAGCCCAACTTTCCATATTCTGAGATTATGAAGGAATTCTACCAGTCAACCTTTGCTTCTCATTTCTATATACTGAGACAAGACTCTCTTCCCAAAGTATCCTGTGAGGGCACATTCAACCCACACTCAGAATAAGCCAGAAGTTCCAGAAAGAATTAATTCTGCCCTCCAGAGAAGCCCTTAACCAAAATGAATGGGGAATTGGTAGATAAACAGCACTGCATATTTGCCCGTTTGCAGAAGCACATTGGGGCCTGTTATATAGTCTCCAATAGTTCCCTAGCAGAGCTGAGCCTGGCTACCCACAGTAGGCATCTGCTCAGTAATTCACCCTATATTATTTACTTCTCTGTCTCAATTTCATGCTGCCCCTGTTGGCTTCATCTCAAATAAACTTCTTGCACTGAACTCTATCTCAAGGGCTGTGCTTCTAGGGGAACAGCAAACCAGAAATAGATTCTGTGCACAGTTTTCTATGGGAAACATAGAGTTCAGAACTCAGTCAGGCCAACAATGGCTAGGAGTCACCCTGAACAATGCAAGAAATTTATAATTCACCTAAATATAACAAAAAGAGCTTCATTAAAAGAAATGAATACGCAACCACTTGCAAAACATCAAGGGCTCCATGAGTGCTTTTAGAACATATGATTAAGTGACTAAAAGCTACTTACTTATAAAAGGCCTGGTTCTCCACCCCGCACTTCCAAAGATGTTTGCAGGCAGCTGGTGTTGAAGTATGGAATGCCAACATGGCTTTTTTCTAATAAAATATAACAAAACAAGAAAGGGCAAGTTAAACACAGTTTATGTTTTTCACTTCAGGTATTTACCTACTTGTGTCCTGCCTCCTACCACACATATTTGAAATAACTAAATACATTACTATATTCTATAAAGTGTGGTTGGAGTGACATTCCCCCTCCCTAACCCACCATGGACCTCAATCATCTATCTAAGGCCTGATTCAGATACAAAGCAGCTTCACAAACCTTCTCGACACTCCAGGCATCACCTACCTCCTTATCAGATTGGGATTATTTTAAAATTTATTTGCCATCCTTGAATAGCTAATACTTAAATTGATAAATAGGGTCAAGAAAATATGCAAACTTCGGAACTAGCCCTAAGGTTCAATGTTTGGTGATGGCCTTCTCCCAAATCCATTCTCAAGCAAGCTCACAACCTATATTTGGTAGCTCCTTTATTTTAACAATATTGGGACTTACAGACTGCTTACAACACCCAGCCCTGTTGATATTTAGCTCTATAAGTATCTTCATGTGTTTCACACAGCTGCATCTTGGCATGAAGAGGGAGGGAGAGGGTCCATCTTTTATTCCTATCTTTATCCTCATCTGTTTTTCACACAGGGCTACATAGTCAGCATTGCTCACTGATGTTATTCTTAAACATGCAAACCCAGTGTTTATTTGTTCACCTCTAAAATGTTTTCAGCTATAGCTGCCATCATCATTACACTTCAAAGTCACGGTCTTTGGGGGCTACAATGCTCTAGCCATGTTTTATTCTCAAAGCTCTCTCATACACATACATGCGCACACATACAGCAACAGGAAGTTAGAAAAACAATATCTGACCTCCTTCTGGGTGCCAATTACATAAAATGTCTTCCCTTCAAACTTCAATTTGCAGACATCTGGCCTAAGAGAAGAAAGACTCTGAGTGAGAAGGAAAAAAAAAATGGCAGCTAACCAAAGTACCTGGCCTTCCCATAGGAATCTGGCTGACTCATAAATGCCAAGCAGACTGCAATAAAACAAGATATTATCTTATCATTGGTGAAGGTCTAATGAGCAGTGCAAAGCCCCAAGTGAATTATACAGCAATTTTTTTCTCCAAGAGAGGACCCGTGGGCAGCTCAGGATTATTTTTTCCATTTTTTACAGTGAGGCTACATCTTCCTTCCAAGGAGCTCTAGAGTATTAGTGAACATTAATGACCAAAACAACATTAATTGGCCTGCTCACTTTGCAAGGTAGGAAGAATGTGGTTATTTCAGAATCTGTTAATGAGATAATATGGATTCAAGATATCTGACTTTCTAATCCTTCCACATCAATCTTTAAGGAGCACCTAGACCACACTGCAAAATTTTCACTCCTACTCTCCCTGATTATAAAAGAGTTGCTTTATTACACATTGAAATGCTCAAAATTGTGAGAACAACTTGATGAATGACAACATGTGGCCAGGGTGACTTTAGATTTTATCTTAAGGAGCTGTTCGATTAAAACCTGCCTAGAATGTCGGACCCAAGTCAGCTCCTCAACGAGAAGATATGTGTAAAGACAGGATTCTAATTTAACTCCTTTGATTTAATTCCTAGGTTAGTGATACATGTCTCTTGTGCTTTTTCTGGGGAAAAAAAGAACAGGTAATACTCTCTCTCACTTACCTGAACCTCTGTGGCATGATTCTATTAGCCTCAGGACTTATTCCCAAACTGCTGTCAAATTCTTCCCTCTTGTAGCATCTTCCCTCTTTAGCACCTGGTTTTCTTTCTAACCCTCTGTACTAGATTAGCATCAGTTACCCAATGTACACTGCATTCCCTACACTGTCTGCTCTTTTCTAAGACCCCAATTTCTCTAAATAGCTTCCTTGTCCTCTCATTGGCTTCTACTCAATTGACACTTTCAGCCCCCCTCTGTGCCCACTTATTCTCTTCTTCCACAATTAGCACTCTCAAAACTCAAAACTCTTATTTGCACTTAATATATCACTTAAATTCATTAATCACTTAAATGAATTAATCTGTTTTAACTTAGGTGGAGGATTTTTGAGAGTGACACAGTTTACTGGATTATTAAAAAAAAAAAACACAACTAGGATTAACATAAGAAAATTTTCTTTAGTAACATGTGTGTACAAAGTAGGTACAAATACATATGCCTAAGAATAAGCCAGGAAGAATGAGATCCACATCAGTACCATAACCAGGAACACCAGAAAGATGCAGACAAGATAGAGAAGTCAGAAATGAACCATCTGGAGATTATTTATCTCCAGCCCTCAATATGCTCAGAAATAAAACAAGATCAAAAGAAATTACTCTACATTTGAGATGCACCATGTTTTAACCTAACTACTCCAGGGCTCAAGCAATTCAGAAAGATGAGGATCTGACCCTTCTTCCTTCAGTCCTCCTAATCTGCATGCCATTCTGAGTGGACATGCCTACTATTTCCAATAGCAACTTCACTGATAATGCTGGATGACAAATAGTGAGTTTGCACAAAGGATTGGACAGGAGTGTGAGGAAGAGTAGGAGAAAGTGGGCCCCGAGTTGCTCCAAGGAACTGATATGGTATGAGTATGGCTTGTCTCTTAAAGTTCCATCTTCTGGAAGTTTGGTCCCCAATGTAGTTGTATTAAAAGGTGGTGAGATCTTTCGGGGATGGAATCTAGTGGGAGGTAACTATGTCATCACCACCCTTGTGAAAGAAGGGATTAATGCTGAACTCACAGAATAGTTTAGGTCTTACAGGAGTGTATTATTTCCCAAGAAAGCTGGTTGTTATAAAAGAGTACCTCCCCAGTCTCTTGCTTTCACTCGTGCACACAGGCTCTTTGCACTTGCCTACTTATCCTTCTCCTCTACTTCTTTGCCATGTTGTGGCTCATCCAAGAGGTCTTCCCCAGATGCTGACACCATAATACCTGGACTTTCGAGTCACCAGAATCATGAGCTAAACAAACCTCTTTTCTTTATGCATTGTCCAGCTTCTGATATTTTGTTATAGCAATACAAATAGACTTAGGAGTTTATACCTTTATTTCACTCTGATCCAGCCTGAGTTCCCTCATATAGTCAGATCATTAGGAGTTTCTGGTGAATATAATGTCTCTTTGAATGCAAAGCCCCCAAGTCTAGGTACCCTAAGGTGACTCTAGTTTTATAAATCTAGTTTCCCACTTAGGGCAATCTAGATTGGGATTCGTTTATGATGAAGTTCCAAGGCAAAGAAATGAATTCTAGACATTCTACCTGAGATGGAAATAAAAATCCAAAGGGAGGAAGTGGGAAAGAAGAAGACGAAAAGTGGTAAGCCAGTTTTCCAAAGAAATACTCACCATTTTATCAAGTGGATTCTCTTATTTCCCTGGAATACCACAAAGCCTGCAGCAGTGAATCCTAAAAACGTCGTTGTGCCTGTTGAATCCTAAAAACAGAAATAAAAACCTGTTGGATTGAGGAAGATAGAGAAAATGACAAATGGCATGCTTACTCATTTTCACCCTGAATTAATTTTCGGTCAAGTTCAATGATTGTAGCAATAAACTAAGTTTCTGAGATGAAATTTCTAAGAACAGGACTTTCAAAACCTGGGCAAGGTCCAGGAAGCTGTAGCTTTTTCCTTTTTTGTAACGGACATTCTGCCTCACCAGGAACCTTCTGGAAGTATACATATTACTCCCAAATATCACATCTATTTCCAAGTACCTTCTGGGGCTGCCTGAGTTCTAGATCAGCTCTATAATGTAAGTAAACTGTTCTTGGTACCATTAGCCCTCTAATACAATGAAACAAAATGCCTGAGTATCTTCTCTGATTCAAACCAACTAGGACTTCTGATCTTTGCAATATAAAAATGTCCAGAAAAGCCTAATTGGCCTACAGCCTAGACAAGGAACACTCAGTCAAGTAAGACCAAGGGATAACAACAACAAAATCAACTCAGTCTCCAAGTAATCCATAAGAAAAAAAGAGGCTCAATTTCTGGTTAAAATATAAATTACTAAGTGGAATAGACTGATTTAAAACATTACTAAAAGGGGCAGCTGGAATATATCCTAAAACAATTGTGTAGGATGCAAATGCCAAATGTGGACAAGTACACTGCCTTGGCTACAAATGGAATCATCTGGGAGCCTGGTTCTCCTCCCCAGCAGACTCTGATATAATGGAGGCAGGGTGTGTTCTGGGCAGCAGATGTTTATGAAGCTCCCAAGGTGCTTCTAATGAACAGCCTGAGCTGAACACTCAAAACTGGTACTTAGCTAAATAAGTTGGTCCAATCTGGGCACATAAATATTCTAGGATTTATGTGGAAGGGGCACTAGTGGGTTGTTGTCACTACTTCCAATATAGCCCAACAAATTATATTTAAGAACCTGACTGATATATTTAGTTTAGTTTTAGTGCTAGTGTCTGGTTGATATACAGTTAAAATGTGGAAAGGCAATGTATATTGCCTGTGTATGTCATTTTTGGAAAATATGTACACAGCATCCCTAGGAGCTTGATGAAGAGGGAGATTTCCCAGCTGCACCCCCAGAATTCTGACTCAGTAGATCTGGGGTGGAGCACAAGTGATTCTGCTAAAGATGGTCTGTGTTTCACCCTTATGAGAAATACTGCCAAATACTATGAGTAAAGGAAAAAATAAAAAGAAGTACTACTAATGCCATGGTGTAATTTGAAATATTTCTTTATTTCCTTCCACTTTCCCATTTTTAATGACTATATTCTTGCTGGGTAATTGCTTTGAAAGCAAATCTCTTGGGATCCTCTATCTTTAAAAAAAAAGAAAGAAAGAAAGAAAAGAAACATCTACTTGATGAATAAACCCATGTATGGTAACTTAGAAAAAGTGGCTCCTACATTACAATTAGCAAGTTACTGGAAGACTCTTAGAGGCTTAGAGAAAATCAACTGCCAAAACTCCTTGATGAAGAGGGAGATTTCCCAGCTGCACCCCTGGAATTCTGACTCAGTAGTGACCACAACCCACTAGTGCCCCTTCCAATTAGGAGTTGTGGTTCAGGCTGTGGAAATCTCCTAAGAGGGTTCTACCAGACCCGAACACCAACTAACTTTATTTTGGGCAAATCAATCATTATGTGGTGATCTGCTGTAGGGGGTAGTTACCTTGCATGGATGTGGATCCACCCCATAGGTTTCCAAAGTGTGAGCTTTCAGGAGTAAGTTAAATTCAGACACTGGTGGGCTCTGGCCTCTAAAATCACACAAGAAAAGTTTAGGGAGTTAAAACAGGAAACATAAGAAACATGGAGTCCCTTCAATCCATCAAATATACTACTCTAAACTAAAGAGAAAAATCCCTAAATGAATAGTAATCGGTAAAGCTGGTAATTATTTCTCACCATGAGGAGCCCTTTGTTAAGAAATCTGAGCTCACATTCTCTAGCGAATTGTTCCAAAATATGCTCACATGTCTTCTGAGAACTCCAGTGACCCATACAGTTAATCAAGGTTATCAAGTTACCAACAAACAGGTCCTTGTAAATTCAATCTTAATACAAAATAAAACTCAGCATCTGTTTCTTTCCTTCTCATTTTAAAAAGATTATCCAGGGTAAATGGCATTTCTTTTTGCTTGGGGTAGAAACTGGTCAATCCTGTTACTCCATCAACAGGCCTAAACAGAGCCATCCAGCCAACAAAGAATTGTCAGCCGTTCCACAGAAAGCCCTGGATTTGGAAAGGAAATCTCCACCACTAGACCCAGACTGTCCTCTAGGGTGGTAAACAAGGTCTTGGACTCAAAGGGGAGGAAAAGGAGACTACAAATATAGATGACCTTGAAGTTCTCTCAGGGCCAACTTAAACACCAAGAATTCAGCAACATTTCAAAGACCCCACTTTGGCTAACATTAAAATGTCACATTTATAATTAATATCTTATAATACTATATAAAATCAGAATCATTCCCCAAAGATAATTACATAACTAACAACCAAGAAGAATTTGCTTTGGAAAACAACAGAAATTCATTTTTATTTTTGAAAATGAATTTTGTTCCTATTTGTCCAGGGAGCATCTTAATCCAACAAACAACACTTTGGTTATTTCTTTTATCTTTTTCTTCCCTTCCCCACTCCCCCTTTGACCTCTAGACACTCTGTGTGTGTGTGTGTGTGTGTGTGTGTGTGTGTGTGTAACTCCTTTGAAAGGCCCTAGTAAATGTATTTTGAAGCTTCTAGGTCTCCATGCCTTTTAAACCTTCATTTCATTCTCTTTATCTCTGTCTTCTGACACGACATCCTGAATTATTTCATAATTCAAACTTCCAGCTTACCAATTCATTCTTCTGCTCTGTGCGTTCTGTTTTTCATCTTATTTATGTCTTTTAAAATATCAATTAAGCATTGCATTTCCAATGTAATGTCTTTTTGTGTTGTGAAGTAGCAGCCTTCTACTGCTACTTAGCAATAAACTAAGTTTCTGAGATGAAACCTCTTCGCCTTCTCAGGATTTCTGTTCATTTCTTGGAAGGTCCAATCCTATTTGCTCCATGAAGGCTACTTTCTTGGTGAGGGTCCTTTTGGGGCTGAGTCAGTCTCTCAGGGAGTTGTTTTCTTAAGTGCTTGGCAATCCTTGTTTGGATGCTCACCTTGTATACATCCCTTTAGCAAAGTGGCCTCCAGATGTTGTAGGCAAGGGTGAGATGTGCCGTGTGGGAAGAATATGTCTCTTGATCTGGGGTAAAGTTTTTTGTTCCTTCTGGAAATTTCTTTGCTCATGCACAGGACACCTCAGCTCAAGCCCACTGCTGCCCCTGACTCAGCACAGGCCAACCAGAGGAAGGGGTCAAAGTTGCCCAACTTCTCCCAGTGCAGTTGCCTGCCCTCTGTGATGGCTGCTTGGCCCATCCATAGTCCAAATCACCCAGAACCATTGCTGTCTTGTGAATGTTTGGCCTGGATCCTTAAAGATGGAATCCTTTCTTGTATATCCTCTGACTAACGTTTTTCCTATTATCCACAGGAACTTGGGGAAGAAAAGGAAGGTTGCCAAATAGGATACCTGTTTCTTTTAAATAAAGTGTTGATTTTGAAATCCATCTATTTCAGAATGTTCCTAAGGAATTACCTCAAAGTCTTCTTTAGGAAAATAAAGTCTTCCTGAAGCTCTTCAAGATTTCTTCTTCAGTTTTAGTGTCTGAAACTTCACTGTGATACAGTATACTTGGGGAGAATGCTTATTTATTCATACTGATGGGGCCCTTTCGATCCAGGAAATCCTAACTTTAACTCCTTCTATGAATTGTTTTCTTCTCAAAACACAGTCAGTTTAACTGTTTTCTCCTCTTGATAAAATAACAACACACTCAAGAAAGTCACCAACTATATTGACAGGAATGGGAAAAGGAGAGTTTGAAAGATTCTTCGCAAAACCCTAGGTATTTCTCCAAGCCTATTTTATAAGTTCTTGCAGTATTTTAACTTTTATTAGAAAACAAATGATTACTGAATCCAAATATTGGATTTGCTCTCTCTCTCTCTCTCTCTCTCTCTCTCTCTCTCTCACACACACACACACACACACTCGTCTCACCCACATACACACTAGAATAAAACAGCTGAAGCTGTGCAACCCACTCTGATGGCCTTCAGTACAAACCTTCAGCCTAATCACCCAGACAGAGCCAAAGTGAGCCAGGACCAGGTCAGGGCATCCCTGTCCTCCCTCAGTCCCAGGCCATTGCCCTGCTCCAGGATGAACCACCACTCCACTTGAAAGGTCCTCACTAGTCAGAATTCCTCTGCTCTGGACAGTTAGCCATTCTTGTGATTGGTTAGGCTGCCATTGCCTTTTTTGTAAATCATACATCTATTGTTGTTATTATTTTGGTATCAGGGATTGAACTCAGGGGCACTCAACCACTGAGCCACATCCCCAGCCCTACTTTGTATTTTATTTAGAGACAGGGTCTCACTGAGTTGCTTAGCGCCTAGCTTTTGCTAAGGCTGGCTTTGAACTTGTGATCCTCCTGTCTCAGCCTCCCCAGCCTCTGGAATTGCACGCATGCACCATTGCTCCTGGCACATTATTTATTCTTAAAATTCAAGTTTCACTTTAAAGTCCACTTTTTTAAAAAAAAATTGTTCTGGGAACAAGTTGATTGTGAAAGATTATTATTCAGAAGTTCATGTTAGAAAGTGGTATGGTTTAGATATGGTTTGAGTATGTCCCCCAGAGACTTCTGTGTTGGAAGCTTGGCCCCCACTGTGATGAGAGAGGTGATAGAACCTTTAAGAGGTGGGGCCTAGTGGAAGGTGGTTAGGTCACTGGGAGTGCTGCCTTCCAAGGGATTCATGTAGTCCTCATTCTATTTCAGTTAGTTCACATGAGAGTAGATTGTTACTAAAAAACCAAGGATAGCTCATGAAGCCTCCTGCCATGTGATCTGTCCCTCTCACATATGCTCCCACCATGTGTGCTTTCTGTCGTGTTGTGATGTAGCAAGAAAGATCTTACCAGAGGTGAGGGGTTTCAGGTGGCATGCTCTTGAATCCCAAAACTCTGAGCTGAATACGCCCATTTTCTTTATAAGGTACTCAGTCTCTAGTATATTGTTATAGCAACAGAAAACCTACTAAGATAGACAGTGAATAATTTTTCTTTGGTAAGTGGTCTTTTTTCTGAGCACTACTCTAGACGTCCTAAGTCCAATATGGTATCTAATTTCTAACTGAAAACACATAACCACTGCATGCCCAGCTCCAGAGGATGTACCCTTAAACTCAAGCTTCTATAAATTAATAAACAAATTTTTAAAAAGCCAGATAACCAGAAAGTCAGAAAGAAATGGGCAAAATACTTAATAGGCATTTAACAAATAGGAAGGATACAACAACTGCATGAAAATCTTCTCAACTTCTTTATGATCAAGAAATTGTAAATGAAAGCCATTAGAAAGTATTAACATATTCATGCAATAGCTAAATTAAAAAGACTAACAAAAACAAGCACTACTAGGAATGTGTAACAAAACAACCCCCATATACTACTATGGAAAGGCAATTTAGTAGAACAAATCTGGAAAGCACTCTGGCATTATCTACATTCAATAAAAATGTTTGGCCTAAAATATAGCAATTTCACTCACAGATAGGCAACAGTAACTAATGTATGTTGTACCAACACATATGTAAAAGTTTCATAGTAGTGCTATATTTGTAACAACAAAAAAAACTCAAATATCTATAAAGAGATAAAAATAGAATAATACAGCCATGAAATAAATGAATTAAAGGTACATACAACAAGATAGATAAATATCACAAAAAAATACAGTTGAACAAAAGAAGTCAGACAAATTAATAAGCATTGTATGGTTCTAGTTCTATGGCTTTCAAACATTGAGAAACTTTAAACCAAAATTTTAGAGGTCAGAAATGTTTGGGTCTTAAATTTAAGTCTAATTCATCTTGAGTTGGCTTTTGTATATGGTGAAAGACAAGGGTCTGATTTCACTCTTATGCATGTAGATATCATTTTCCCAGCACCACTTATTGAAGAGACTGTCCTTTCTCCATTGTGTTACTAGCATCTTTGTTGAAAACAAAATGACTGTAAATGTGTAGATTTACTTCTGGGCTCTCTATTCTATTCCACCAGTCTATGGGTCTGTTTTATGTCAATGACATGCTGTTTTGATTACCATAGCTTTATAGTACAGTTTGAAGTCGGGTAGTGTGATGTCTCCAGTTTTGTTCCTTTTGCTCAAGACTGCTTTGATTATTTGAGGTCTTTTGCAGTTCCATATGAATTTTAGGGTTGTTTTATCTAGTTCCTCATCCTCAAAAATCTCATTTTTTTCCTTTACTAGGCCCACATATGACTGAAGTCAGAAATCCTTCACTGAGGGGAAATGTCAGGTAGGAGGCTGAGATAGAGCAAAGCAAAAGCTCATCTTTAAATAAAGAGAAGAGTCAGTACCACTGCTTTGAATTTAACTACAAGTCTCCACTGGCTAAGCATTTAAGAGATCTAAATTTAAAAATCATACACAGAGAAGGGCTTACTACAAATGTTCACAGAAGGCAAAGAGATCAAAACCAAAGGAGAAAAGGCAGGGACCCCAGTAGCCTGAGGCCCCCAGCTTACTGAGGAAGAAACATTTAAAAATTGGTTTTCCAAGAAGATACAAAAGCAATTAAATGGATTTTTTTTCCATTTCCTCAAATCTCCCATTAGATATTTGTTTC